TAGATTTAGGTGTGTACATTTAAAAGTGTAGCACAGAACAGATCCTGAGAGTGCAAGGTAGAAAAGGAAAATGTTTTGGAGGAGTCTGAGGAAGGAACTCTCATGTGATACTGGAATAAAGGGCGCATCAGCAAAGGCAGATAACTTGGTGGATGGAGAGAAGTGCAGCGGCATGTGGGGATGGGCACTCATCCAACACAGCACTTCATCAGCAACGAGAGACTCACTTTTCTGTGTAAGTGGAATGAGACTGACACGGGTCCCTTCATGTAGCTCTCATGGATGAGGGTGAGAGCTCTGAAGGCAAATGCACTAAAGTGAAAATAAAATCCTGGAGTGGAAGGGAGGAGACACAGGGCCACACTTCAACTGTGATATTTATGAACCAATTGAATAAATAATCTTCAAGATCTACCTTCCTCACCTCCAGCGTGAAATCATAGTGACGTTAGATGCATGGAACTGTCATGAGACGGTTAGATACAACCGTGGTGTGTGGTTGTCATTCTCATTGTGCTTCTGTTGTGTATGTGATGGTGGCTGGTGAAGGGTTTGGAGAAGTGGAGTTCCTTGGCTACCTTGACACACCGGATGAGCAGTTACTAGCCATCCATATAGACGAAGGACTGATAGCAGAAGAGGAGATTAAAACAGGAAGTTATTAAGCGGGATAAAATAATGGCATATTTTCATGGTAGCTCATAAAACATGAAGGAAGGAAACGCAGAGACCCAGAAAATATATACTTCAGTTTGGCATACATTTAAAAATTCCCTGAACACAGGCTTGGTATTAATGGCTGGGACCATCAAACAAATGATGCAGCCTCTGCTCAAGGGGGGTCACTAAATTTCCCTAAGTTTGGATCAAGCCTTGGCTTGGCATCTGAAGGCTTCATTGAAAGTGGGGGAACCATAGTAAATGAGAGACTGCCCTAGAGATAGGAAGAGTCTCGGTGAGACAGCAGTGTGCACAGAGCTCAGAGGTCCCCCAACCTTGGGTCGAACCTTAAATACACTGAAAGGCAGAGACAGTGGGTGAGCCTCAACAGGCCGTTAGCCTCTTAATGACTTGATCTCCTCACCTATAAGCTAGAGAAATAGTCAGCCCTACCTTTGGGGGTTATTAGAAGATTATGCTAAATAAACCATATGAAACATTTTCTCCTTCAAGTATTTAATTAGTGTAACATGGTGCCTTATTGGGGAGAGGGTTGGAGTGATAAGAGAGAAGGATTCCATAATGATTACAAGGATTCTGCCTGGAATAGTTAAGAGATGTTGGTGCATTCACCCAGGACATAAAAAAAAAATACAGATGAAAAGTTTATGAGGAAGAGGCAATCAGTGATAAATATGGTGAGTTTGGATTGACTGTAGAGCTCTGTAACTAAGGAAATCAGTAGACACCTACAGTGGGCAGTTAACTGCCCAGCTATATGTTTGGGCAACATATACATCAATGATTTCTAAAGCCACAATAATAAACAGAATTAATCAGGGAATAGAAGGTAGGCTGAACACAAAACATTCAAGGACTAGGGAGACTGGTCAACAAGAAGGAATGAGAAGAAAGAAGCTAGAGAGTGGAGGTGATGAGGTCACAGGAACTGAGATAACTTGGGCATAGCTTCATGAAGAAATGTACATTCAAGAGAATCTAATGAACTCGGCCATTGGAAGGACCCTTATCAGAGCTGATTCTGATGATAAGGTCTTGGAAATAGGAAGGTGGGTTGTGAGTTCATCAGATACATTTCATTATTAAGCTGCATACACCATATTCTGTAGTTTTCCATTTATGTGTACATGTGTGTGAGTTGCAGCAAAATATGATTAAATGATACCTTTTAAAAACAGCAAGAAAAGTGGCTATTAGTGTGAAATATAGAAATAAAGAAAGGCTGGAGGAGAGGTCAAGACTGTTCGCCAGTCTTAAGGGGAAAAGCCAGGGAAGAAGGACAAAGTTACAGGGAAGATGACAGGCTCTAGATCTCAGGAAGAGGAGAGGACGACAAGGTAGAGGGGCAGGTTGGGGCCACCAGTGAGGAAGGCGATTGGCTTGATTGTCATGAGGATTTGTCTTAAAGTACAGTGACACCCAGTAGCTGCTGGTTGTTTCAAAGACATAATAGGGAAGAGTTGGTTGATAGAAAGTGAGAACCAAAAGGCTCAAGGAGAATCAGAGAACACCAGAGCAGTGGCTGAGAAAACTTGGAAAGGGCAAAAGACTAGAGCCAAGGCAAAGACTTCCCTAGCTAGTTAGAGGTCCTGGACTTAGGAAGTCAATGTCTCATGTGCGTTTTTCCCTAGCTGCCACGCAGATCAGAGATACCAGAATGAATATTTTATATAACAGTTACAGTGGACCTGAGTGGTTCACACCCTTGGGGAGGATCTTAGAGAAGTCAGCTAAGCTGTCTGTTAGCTGATTAGTGTTAGGTATTGTATTTAAAGAAAATATGGACTGGAGTGAGTTTTAGGTAGGAAAAATTGTCCTACTCTGAATCTCCTTGGGACAGACTGGAGAGAACCACGAATCTCACTCTTTAAAAAAAAGTTTGATTTTTCAGAGTTACATTCAAAGGTATGGAGCACCTCTGATATGGTCACAGATCATGTCGAGAAGGTGGTGTGAGATGCTTGGCGGCTGCTACAAGATTGTTCTTCAAAGCCAGCAGAGGGGTCTTAGAAAGGTAGACGGGGAAGAAGGCAGCTCGGGAGGGAGCCGCTGGTCTCTTTAAAGGACCAGGGTAGAGAGGATTGTGGAGATGCCCTCTAATAAAGGAAAGAGTTGAGGGTGCAAAAAAGAACTACAATGCAGATGAGGACAGCAAGCCAAGTGGAAGGGACATCTGCCTCTGTGGCTGTTGTTTGTGAGGCCGGGGGGAGGATGAACTGAAGAGTGTGTGGATGGGTAAATGGGATGGAGGTGGAGGGGGAAGGAAGACAGGGAAGATCGCAAGCCTAACTGATAAGGGAAGAAGTGGTGATTGTAAACACTCTTGGGGCTGACACACTAACTTGGCGACTCAGGAGATTGAGCCCTGTGCCTGGCCACAGGAACTCTTCAGTACATGTTATGCAGGGAATGAGCAGGTAGTCAGGGATCAGGATACAAAGGATCCTACACTTAGGGGTCCCAGCTTAGTGCTTTCTTAAAGCTTGTTTGCTACCTCTGCCTTGAATAAACTGTGTAATAAATTCATTTCTGAAAGTGCCACTTGTGAGAAGTTATTTGTAGAAAATGTCCCAAGAAAGTTCAATCATTTACAGTTCATTAACCTTTCTTGTCACTTACTTCTAAATAGCTGTAAGGACACAAGTCATCTTTGGGGTTTTATAACAGTCAAGCGGAAAACTTACATGCGCATATATAACATGCCAGTGTATAAACAGAGCATACAGTCATTGGAAGGACGTTAACATAAACATGTTGGTGTGTACATACAAGTCTGATGTTTTTCATGAATAGTTCATACTGTTTTATCTCTTTTGACCCCTAAAGATTGCCTAGTCTAAACTGTGTGAATAAAACACTGATTGCAAAGAAAGCTATTAAGTAATTGTGGTGGCCTTAGGGACACATCAGACAGTCCATAATGGAGAAAAAGGAAAAACAGGTCAAGTATTTGTAATTGATGACCATCTTCCTTTGTGAAAGATTTGACACCACTTTATCCTAGCCAGTAATTTAAGTGAAAAAGAAAAATGAGAAACTTGTGAAAAATAAAACAGAGATAGTGAACTACAGAAGAGCCAAGTGGTAGAAGGCACCTGCTAAGGGAAGTGAAGAAAACCCATTTGTATCTTAGTAGCTTTCTTACCTGAGGAGCAGATATCTAGGTGAGATCTGATCACTTCCCCCAAGTGGCCCACTCATGAACATGATGAGCTAATCCTTCATCCTGGGGATGAAGTCAGTTGCCACCTGGAGCACAAACCCAGCAGTCCTACTTCCTCAGAGGAGAGGTGGGATAAGACATGGACATGGGGTCACTTGGTGAAGGAGAAAGGGACATGTGGAAAGCTTACTGCTAAACCTTCCAGTCTGTGGCACATGTGTCATTGGGGGAGATGGTGGAGGTCCCTTAAATCCTGTCTGGGTTGTTTAGAATTCTCACCCTCCCTTGGCTCTTGTGTGAATTCTGCCCCGTCTGAGGTTATGCACAAGAGGGTTACTAGGGGAAAGAACCCTCGGACCCTCTTGATTTCCCACCCTGAAGGATCCTTTCTCAACACCTTGCCTGCCAATGGTTGGAACCAGTCAGTCTCTCCAACAGAGCAAATGTCTTCCTTTTCTTTTTAAAACATACTTAGGTTTGAAAGTGAAGGCCAATTAAAAACAGGGTTCAGAACCTGTTTTCAAACTACACTGATTCCCTTGGTCATCAGAAGTCAATTTAATCCCTTAATAAGTTAATGATGGCAGCTGTCTTCTGGATGAGATTGAAGGAAAACACCAAGTGTGAACAATACGACCCCCTCCCTCTCCCATAGCTCTGGGAACAGTGTCCAGGAGCATGGACAGATTACAGCACACAGAGCTCAAGTTGTGATCTTAGTACTGGCTTGTAAAGGTGACACCATTTCTCTCTTCATTTACTCCATGGATGTGGCTCGTCTCTCTCATTTTCCCCCATTTCTTATGAAGACTGCAATGATTTATAGAACTGGTTGGGAATTCCTTCTTTATCTCTGATAGCTTAGACAATTCATCCAAGAAAGAGCACTAAGATTTCAACTGTCTTAAGCACACCTTCAGAAACATCCTGCGTGTTTTGCATAACAACTCGAACCGCTCTTCCTATGGTGTGAAAATGGGACAGTCCTTTCTTTTTAAGGTATTAAGGGAGAGGCTTGGAGTAAAGAACTGGTCATTCTAGGAAACACTTCATAAAAATAAGTTTCAAATCTCTGTTTTAAAAATTCCCCCTGCATGCTTTTGCAGTTGAGTCTCTATTTGAAAATACTGTTGTTTTTATTTAAACCCACCTTTAGGAGATGACCTGGCTTCCTCCACTCTCTGCTATTCAAGCTCCTGGCAAAGTGGAACCAAGCAAGTTTCCATTCCCAAATAAGGTGAGCACTAGAAAGGAACCCATTGCTGTGCGGACGCTTGTCACGGACAGTGTATTGGCCCTTTGGCATCTCTTCCCCTATTAGCATTCCTGCCGGAAGCATGAGGTTCTGGCCTTCAATGGTTTGTAAGCATGTATGTGTTCACGGAGGTGGGTATCAAGCTTGTGACCTCACATTTCCATATTCTGCAAATTCCTGATCTTTAATACAGTTCCTCCTGTTGTGGTGACCCCCAACCATAAAATTATTTTCGTTGCTAATTCGTAACTGTAATTTTGCTACTGCTATGAATCTCAATGTAAATATCTGTGTTTTCCGATGGTCTTGGGTAACCTGTGAAAGGATCGTTCCACCCGCAGCTTGAGAACCACTGATCTAAGTGTCTGTTAGATCAAAAAACATCTTGCAATCATCTCACATATTCTTTGAGATCCTGTGCCCCTCACCCCTACCCACACCCCAGAAAGCTGTTTTTAGTGGTTAATCTTAAAAGGGATGCCTTAGAATTAGAGGTGTGTAGTATTTAATTTTTCTAGCTACCCTTTTATAGCATACAGTTTCCTAAGATTTAAAAGGGATGTCTATATCTTCTAAAGGAATACAGCCACAAGACACACTTAAAGTATATCTGAGTCCTATAAGCTTTCCCTGACTTCCCTAGCATGTAACTGACATATATCTCAGTGCTCACTATCAAATATCAAATTGTACAGCTAGAAAGAAAGTAGGAAACTCAGTGACATCCCCAGCCAGTCTGTTTTCTACAGAAATACCACATTCTAGAGTGAATCATTGAAATAATCGTTCATTGCTTTACTAAAATGATAAGTTTCTGTTCTAAGAATTAGGCTTTTGCTGCACTCTCTCCCTCTCCTTCCCTCTTTCTTTCCTTCCTCCCTCCCTTCCTTCCTATATCCCTCCCTCCCTCCCTCCATTTCTCCCTTCCATCCTTCTTTCAGGTTCAGGGCCTCACACCTGCTAGGCAGGCACTCCCCCACTGAGCCACAACCCCAGCCTCCTAAGAGCTGATTATATTTCCCTTAACAGGGTGTACTTGGAAGACCTCCTGAGTGACTGTGGACAGTAGCAAAATATTGGGTAGTGTGGATTTGCCTTGATTTATTTACTCCATTCATAGTGTTAGACAGATTGTTTATGATCTGTTACTGCAGACACCAGTGCCACAAAGCACCCTTTGTGAATGTCCCTTTGTGTGCCTGCCGTTGACTGTCCCCAGTGAGGACAGAAATTATGATATGGAGCCACTGGAAACCACATTTACACTTGGCTGTGTTTCAGGAAGTCTTTTTATGGTTCTTAGCCAATGATTAATACTATCCAAGGTTTTATCATTGTGCCTGTATGATGGATGAAAAGTTGATATCTCATTGTTTTAATTTGCATTTCCCCAATTACTTCTAGCTTTAGCAATGACTATTTTTCCTTTGTGGATTGCCCATTCACATCCATTGCCACTTCATAAAAATGATTTGTAGCAACTTCTTTTATCTTATTCATTTGTCTAGTGCATATAATGGGATCATTTTGTAACTTTATTTATGTTCCTTTTATCTAGAAAAGTGTTTAATTTTTCTGTCACAGGGAAGAAAATCCTCCCTTTCCCAACATATTAACAATGGTCTCTGTTCTAATTTTAACATGTTTTTTAGCTTGAAATATGTGGATGGTGGGAGTTGGGACTATAGCTGTCATCTTTGTAGCAGTTAGTAAATTACTGTACCACTGTGAACACGTTAACCCATTTTTCTCCCAGGAATTTGAAATGCCCCCATGTGTCAACATTTGAATTTAATTTAGGCCTTACTATTCTCTCTCTCTCTCTCTCTCTCTCTCTCTCTCTCTCTCTCTCTCTCTCTCTCTCTCTCTCTCTCTCACACACACACACACACACACACACACACACACACTCTCTCTCTCTCTCTCTCTCTCTCTCTCTCTTACTTCTCAATAACATGTAAATCATGTCAACTAAGCTGGGCATAGTAAGACTCCTGTAGTCCACCCACTTAAAGGATGAGGCAGAAGATCTCCTGAGCCCAGAATTTCAAAGACTAGCTTTTACAACATAGCAAGACCCTGTGTCAAAAAAAAAAAAAAGAGTTTTTCTGTCAAGGACAGACAGTGAACAGTCCAGGCTTCACTGACAACACCTAATAAAGAGAGCATCATGTCACCAGTGGAACCTAAGCTAGTTGTCTTTGAAACGCTCAGGCTTCGGGATGAACAGTTTCTGTAATGCGTGTTTCTAGTGTCATCTTGCCATGCTTAGAAGAAAATGAGAAACTGTCACAATCTACGCATAATCTAACCTGAGTCCATGGCTACCCAGAATACAATCAGACAAGCCTTGCTTTTTTTAATTGTTTGTTTGTTTTGGTGACAGGGTTTCTGGCTGACCTGGACTCACACTGTAGACACACTGGCTTTGAACTCACTGAGATCCACCTGTTACTACCTCCTGAGTGCTAGGCTTTCTTTTTTTTTTTCCTTTTATTAAATTTTTTCATTTATTTTACATCCCAACCACAGTTTCCCCTCCCTCCTCTCTTCCTGCTCACTCCCCCCACCTCCTGTCTATTGCCCTATCCGCTCCTCCTCTGTTCAGAAAGGGGCAGGCCTCCCATGGGAGTCAACAGAGCATGGAATATCACCTTGCAGCAGGACCGCACTCCTCTCCCTGCATCAAGGCTGGGCGAGGCACCCCTGCATGGAGAATAGGTTCCAAAAAAGAGTGCTGAGCTTTCTTAAATATACACATCTATGTCATAATTGTGATACAAGTGGGCACATCCTTAGCATATTTTTGTTGTTACTGTCCCAAAATGTGTTGTCTTGTTTCATAAAAATATATAAGTAGGAGTTTAACTCCTGAGGTGATACTGGGACTTTAAACTGTTAATACAAAAATTTCATTTTGATAGCATTATTGAATTATAGTTAGCAAATGAAAATATAGTAACAGGGACAGTAAAGTGATTCAACAGGTAAAAGTACTTATTGACAAGGCCTGATTCCCTAAGATCAACCCCTGGAATCTACATGGTGGAAATAGAGAATGTGGCTCAAAACTTGACTTTTGATCTCCAAAGGCACACTCTGACATATGTGTACATGTATGTGTATGCATGTGCACACATACATACACACACGATCTGCCTTCTTAACAAATTTTAAGTGTATGATACAATCAATATAATACTAACCAGACTTTTATTTCTGGTATATTATGCTCCATTATCATTCATAAAATCACATATGACATGTATACATGTGTGGCACATATATATACATAAATATATCAGATACATGGTACAATTTATATAATGTCTACTATGTATATGTGCATTAGTGTATATAAGTATATATGTGTGTGTGCTAAATGAAATAAGCCAAAATAGAAAGAAAACTACTGTATTGTTACTTATGATTCTACTTGTGTGTAGAATCTAATATAGAAACTTACAGAAGCTAAGGGTAAAATGGCGATTTCTGAGACCTGGAGTGGCCATGGAAACACAAGGCACAAAGTGCATTTATGTTAACAAATGAACAGGTTTCAGTGATCTAACATATTATGATACAGCTGTGAAAAATCCACATTTAAAAAAAATAGCTAGAAGCCAGCCATTGGTGGCACACACCTTTAATCCCAGCACTCGGGAGGCAGAGGCAGGCCTGATCTGCAGAGCAAGTTCCAGGACAGCGTCCAAAACAATACAGAGAAACCGTGTCTTCGAAAAACAAAAACAAAAACAAAAAAATAGTTAGAACTTATCTAATTTGTTTTCACTGAAAAAAAAAAACTATTATTTATTGAAGAGTAAGAGAATTTCAAACGTGAATGCAAACTACCCTATTTAGGACCACTGTCAGGGTTGCATGGAACTCACCTCTAGTTTGTTTGTTTGTCTGTCTGTCTGTCTGTTTTGAATCCCTGAGCAAGAGCATGTAAATGATTTATGGTCCAGGAGTATGGGTGGTCTTACTCACACCTTGTCTCAAACAGCTTCGCTGAGAATACTGATCGATGTCTTGTACAGGTGAATTGAGGCTGCTTCCTGCTTCAGCTGTACCTCCGCCACACACTTGGTCAGGCCCACTGACATTAAATCAGGCTCTGGTCAAGGCTCTGCTCCTTAGGAAGTCTCTAAAGACAGCTTCATGTCTTCCTTTGCCTGCTTCTGGAAGCTTCCTTGCTAAGGGCTCCTTTCACTCTGACCTCTGCTTGTCTTGGCTTCTCAGGCTTCCTCTAGCCTCCTTCTTGTCTTATCGGGAACCTTGAAATGATACTTGGCTTCCCTGAATAAGCCCCTACTTTAGAATCATTTGCTGAACTACATCTGTAGCAGTCTTTTTCACATGTGAGGTGGCATGTCTGCAGGGCCGTGGAATTAGCGTCATCACCGTTTCTGAGGGTGCAGGATTCTGCCTATTACAAACATAGTTACTAGTGTTCACAATGGAGTGCACTGCTTCTGGACGTGGTGCTGGGGTAAGTCCACAGCCTCGCACGTGGAGGCAGGTGCTTCCCCACTGGCTGTGCTGGCTGCCAATCCTAGAGTGCCTCTCCCTGTACCCTTATCTCAGCTAATTAATATCCTGGCAGCTGGACAGTGCCGCTGATTGATTAGACTATTAATGTTTGGATTATTGAGCTAGAACTGTTTATGGAATTTGAGGGGCAAAAAATCTTCGAAATGACTAATAAATAATGGAATTAAACCCTTATTAAGATTAAGGGTGTCATTTGCTCTCAAAAAAGGAAAAGTCGATTTTACTGCACGTTCTGAGTTTCCAGTGTCACTAATTTAATTAGCTAAACACACTTCTGAGAATTTCTGCATTTTGTCTAAGTATTAAAAGATATATACTAGGGCAAAGTCAGTTGATAATGAACTTGGCTTTTGTTTCTGTCCTCTGGGGACTTGGTTTGAAGTCACAGTTCCCTAGGCAAACAATGCCCAGCATTTCTGCCTCAT